CTAGGCCTTAATATAAACATAATAACTCTTCAATTGCTCATTACTAAACCCAATATTAGTTATGTAATACTAGTGAGTATTCTAAAAGACATTTTAGTCTTACAACTTACCTGATTGTACCTTTCTCCTTTGCTTTATGCCACTTTAGTTAATATACGAATTTACAAAATAAGTTAGTTTGTATTAATGGATCTAATCTGCCTTTAGTGTGTAAACTCATTTATTCCTGAAATTATCTTAAAAATTATATCATACAGGCATGTTATAAACAACCTATACATTTTCTCAGCCAACTATTATGCCTAAAAAACGTTCGTCGAAGTCGTTTGCCAATAAAATTGAAGTTAGCAAATATTCTGTTTATTTTCACGGGACTGAAGGCTCTACGTTTTAGCTTGCCAATTGTGTTGCTCTTAGATTCCATTTCTCGGGTTATCAGAAGTCTAGCTGCAGTTTGCTTCAATTTCTAACTTATATCTGTCATTTTTGTATCTTTAATAAACACATCGATACATCTAATAACTCTTAACAATAATAAGCTAAAAGTGAAAGCCCGATAGAACTAAAATGTATCGACCTGCAAGTTTATGTTTGAAAACACTGAAAGTTTACAAGCAAATAATTCACTTAGAATTATGCAATTTGGTAAATATTGTTGAAACTTTTCTATAGGTTATAAATAGTCGTATACTGCTTTGATCTTTGTATCCAATTCTATAGTCCCAACGGCCCTACTGAAAATTTCAATGATCAAAGAGACACAGGACCCTGCTATGCCCTCTCTAAATGAACATATTTTTACTTCATTATTTATTGATTTTATGGACGATTGACCAAGGATCCTAAAACGTAAAGCTAACTGAAAAATATATACTTCTAACTAAAGCAATGTAGCTGAAATATATAGCCAGAATGAAGTAGAAAGTTGAGATAGGAAATGTTTAAATTGTTTTCTTAGATTCTTTGTCATAGATTTCTAGATAGCTAGAAAAGACAGTAAAGTTTTTAAAAGCAAATCAAACCGAAATTGATTCTTAGAAAACGTGACATTACTCCATGGTATTCAAGCAAATAAATGCTGCATGTTGTTATTTCTCAATTTATTTCCATTTTTGGCTCTTTGTGTTTATCTAAATTTCTTGGAATGATCAACGACCTTCAAAGCTCTGCAACTTATACAGAAATGTATCAGCCTCAAGATAATATTTATCAATTTGCTGTTTAGAAATTGGGAGAAACTGCCTTTGAAATTTGATACAGTTCTACATCTATAAGTCTACCTTCATAGGACTTACTCGATTCTTGTTTAGTTTTTGACCCCTATTCAAAAGAACTTTGTCAAGAGATATTTCGAAACTTCCTGATTTGCTTCTAAGCCGCTCTAATGATAATAGCCTATACGATACATGCAAAGATACACTGTGGAAAAAGCACTAATATCTTTGTAACAGACCGTCTATATCTACAAGTAACCAAGCCCTTAGATTAACAAAAGCCATACTGATCATTAATAACCATAGAACTGATTACCTACAGCAATGAAAAACTACTCAAAAATCTTTCTTTTTAAGATTTGATGGAAAGATTCTTTCTAGTATCAGGCATCTATTTCCTGTCTAATTGCTATACATAAATAGAAACAAGAGCTCCTTGTGACTTATATTGTTCTCTGATGCAACATTCATTTTTTTCTAAATAGCAGCTCTATAGAATTTTGTATTTTAGAAACCCTTTTAACACTGTAATCAACAAAACAAATCAAGAATCAGAACGCTAATCCCGAGCTTGGTTTCTTAAAAGAAATGTGTGTTGCCCAGTGCATACCACGAGTTTTCCAACAGTCTCTCTTCCAGCAAATGCACAGCCTCTTTCTTATAGATCAATGCGTGATTCGATTCAAAGCTAATTTATTCCTCTGCAGTAACCATGGACTTATCAAAGCAATGTGACAATTTTTAGTTATTGTTGGCTTCTTTTCGTTGTCTTGTTTTTCTTTATTCCTGTCCAGTTTTTGAAAGATCACGTTTTTGCTTTCTTACGAAACTAAGCCTTAAATAACAAGGAATCATTCTTTATGACACCAATCCGATTTGGCAAAATCACAATTCTATTATCTCGATAACCACAAAAGAAACTGTAAAAGCCATATGACCAGAGAAATGGATTTGCTCTTAAAGAAAGGATTTCCAAATGCTTGATGAGCACAAAGACCTGCCTCTCTTTTGATTTGCAATAGATATAACATGCAAGCTATTTGTAAGTGGCGATGGTTAACTCTAAATTTACAGCCATACTCATGTTATTCAACAAACTATTGAATTTCTACTCTAGACTTGGCCTATTATCACAATTACTGATTTTTCGATATAAAAACCGCCGATAGAAATTGATAAATCCATCGTACTAATCACCCTAAACCTCACATAACTGCTAAAAATCCATCTTTTAAAGGTGGGATGGTAATAGCTCTTTTTGACGATAATTTGTCACCGATTTCGTGTTTAATGGGCAAACTTCAGAAAAATAAGAACTCCTTGGAACATGCTGGGTATTCTATTTGATTCTAATCTTATGTTTAATTTTTCTGTGTTTTTAAAAAGTTGCTTTTTAGAATTTGGTGTTCAAGAAGCCTTTGAGAAGCATTTCCATTATAATCTAAGTGCTCCAAATACAAGCAAGGAACAAAATTAGAGCCAATAGGAATCTTAAGCCTTGATTATGTCATCATTATAATCATGTTAGGCCTAATCTTAAGTGAACTTTGATTGACTGGAAGCAATGAAGCTGATTATATATTTGATATTTTCGTGTTCAAATTTCATTTTTTCAAACAAATGTTGTAATCTGTATAGCGTAGGACTATAAGCAGGAAAACACTTTTATGTTACAATCTTGATTCTCTGAGAAAACAAATCCTTGAGTATGTATCGCTTTAAAATCTGTCGACCCAAATTGTTATATAGAGGGAGGAAGGGATTTTCTACGTAGTTTTTTCGACTTGTTCTTCAGCTATGCGTGAATGTTAAGAATATGTTCAATAAAAAGGAATTTGATGATGTTGATATTTTATGAATTTCTCATGAAAAAATGTGACCGCGCATCACTGGGGCTGAAGTCGAAAATCAAAGTTTGGGGCTTAATGCGATAACCAGGAAAAGTTCCTGAGGAACATTTAAGAACTTGTTTCGACTTTTTTCCTGAAGGAACATGAATTATTACGAGATTATTTTGAACAATAAGATTTTAAAGGATTTTTCGCGGGTTTTTTTCGAAAACGAAAGGGTTTTTGCCGTTATTTAAATTTCTGTGGAGTGTTTTCCAGGAATGTTCCTGGCAACCCTTAAAAATTGAAAACAAATTTTTGACAAAAAACACAATCGATAGTGCCTGGCGGTCAAAAAAGAATTGTAGACAGTTGGAATTCTTTGATAAAAAACCTATAGTAAATATTCGGGAAAACAAACAAAGGAGCTTCTGAAAATTGGTACTAAAGCTAACTCCCTTTAATGCTTTGTGAAGATATATATTTCAATTCTGAATGCGCAGTTATCTTTATCGAGCATTCTCTGATAAAAGCAATCAGATTGCGGTAAATGCCAAAAGGAAACGACTTTTAACGGGAAATCACTCTTGACCGAATTGAGAGGCTTGTCGTCAGAATTTGAAAGCACTTTTCAAAATTGACATGGTTAAGGCACTGGTGTATAAGAGTCGAGGAACCACTACACAGTAAACAATTCAAGGGTCCTTGCCAGTTACAGACGTATTACACAGGGTGTTAAAAGCCTTTGATACGACAAAGATATTTTTAAGCTTAGGCTTTCAAACAGTGTAAGAACCCATTGATGCGAAAATTGAGTGGTCCCTTCTTGAAGTTAAGAAAAATCTTCTGGCCACCATCGCGGACCAACTTATTTTTCAACAAATGCGCATTTTGTTATTTCGACCGTTTTGATGCGAATTTCAACTTTTATAAACTTTCACCTCCAAAAACTTCTATCTAAACAGTTTCAATAATGTGGCGAATCTTTATTTCGTCTGCTGAAACATCCATATTCTCCATAAAGGATAGCAGTTGGAAGATTTGGCTGAACAGAGCATAGAAAAACAGTGCAAAAGGTTTAAACCTCTATAATTATTCCGCCCAAGGATAAAAAATACTTCAGTTTCACTTTTTTACTTGCTGTTAATCATTATAAGCCTAATAAGATATTTTTTCAACTTTTTGGAAACGATTGTAGGATTTTTCATAAAAGTATATTCAAACTTGCAAATAAATTCTAACAAATTTGAAACATAACTTGAAGTCCCATCCCGCCCCCATTAACACCACAGACTGCAATTCTGATTTGAGGGTGACAATGGCCACCTATACCTAAACTAGTTTTATGCATAGTTATACTGTTTAAAGTTTCAATGGCGCAATAAGAATTAACCTGGAAGCATAATGGTTTATCTTATTGGATGTGGAAAATAATACTATACGATAAAAGATGTGGAAAACTTATCCAAATTTAAAAAAGGCATACATGCCTGGAATAAAGACAAATGTAGCTGTAAAATATGTAGATTAATATTGTACATTTTTCTTTTTACGTATATAATTAGTTGGTATTAATTAGTTTTACATAATTATCTATGCATATTAACTATCACTTAAACCAACTGTAAATAAAGAGATTATTATTATTATTATTATTATTATTGTGTCACGTTTTAGCTCAATGCTACAACACAAGGCATCAACAATTATTATTGCTCTAGAAACAATGCGAAAACTAAATGCTACAAAAAAGGAATTATAGATCTTACCATCCCCACTTCAATTATTCCACATATTTCTCTTTTAGGGATGGTTGAGTCGCTACAACTGTCGTTATTTTCTTGCCATGAATATCAATGAGCTGGAATATGCGAATTAGCCGAACGTGGAATTACTCATTGTGTCCTTCGAGTAAGTAATCATAATTTCAGTAGCAATTCCCTTTTCTTGTTCACAACTTATTGAATAACGGCACAGAAGTCTAAAGATGGTATATTTTCCTATAGATAGCATTTAAAACTTGTAACCACGTATCTGCAGTTCAACATTGATATTTCATAGATATGATCCTGGACAACTTCTCTATATCACTAAACAAGACACTTTTCCCGCAAAGCCTATGAATTCATTTCATCCCATGATGACGTCAAATCGTTCTTCCATCCTGTCGTTTCTCTCATCCATGAAGTGTCATTCACCAAACATGAATAGCCTTAAAATGTTAACCGAACGCGCTAGGACAAAACTGTACAGGAAACACTCTCCTAATCATAAGCGTCATTATTTCAGAGGTCAAGTTTAGTCTCATCAGATGATTCTAAAGTTTTGTCTTAATAGTTTTACAGACTAACAAAGTAAAAAATTTATGAAATTCGTTTGACATATTTCTATATATAGAGATATATCGAAAAATCATTTACTCTGCAGTTTATTTTTAAGCTTCAAGAACCTAAAGAGTTTATCGATTTCAAAGATGTTACAGAAACAAATGTGCTTCTTCGCTACTATTGTAAGCTTAAGGTTGTTCTGAACGCTAGAATAATTGTTAGGAGTAGACAGCATAGAGAAGAGAGACATATAGAATCACAACGGTCCTTGAAAAATTATATATTGTAAACAAAAGCATAAAAGTTTATTTTTACGAATTTGCAGCGTAAATTGAAAACTGAAAAATTCCTGATAAAAGGGAGGTGTAAGGGGGGGGGGGCTATAACCCGGATTTAGCAAAAATTATCCGTCAGTATCTCTAATAGCCAAGAAAAGTATTAGTACTTTCTTTTGAAGTGTGATGATCTTGCTCTCTTGCTTGTTGATTCATCCAATAAAGAAGGCTTACATGTTTTAAAACCTGGAAATTGGTTGCCACGTGGTGTCCGTGTTCAGGCACTTAGATAAGCAAATGAAGTCGTTTTAAGCGAACACGCGTACTGACCCAACCTCAATGACATAGCCTGTTGACTTTTCCGTGCTGGGCAAGTGATACACGGGCGGTATTACCGATAAGATGTTAACCTTGACGGCGATCTAATCGTCTGACAGACACGTAAGAAGCTGCTATGTAAACGTTGATGGCCGCAACACAATTGAATCGCGCATACGCCACGATAAACTTCGGCGCAACATTGGCAAATAGATGTAATCCCCTTTGATAAATTCCTCATAATTTACAAAGCAAGCTAAACACAAGTAGGGCATTGACTTTTGACGACGGTTTTGGAGTGAAATCCTAATTCCTTCACTGGCTAAAAATTCAATCAGACGAGGCGGGCCGTTTGAAATATAATTTCAGCAAATCAGTTACAAGAGCTATGCAGTAAATTTGTTTGAATTATCTGCTAGGCCGCAAGGTAAGTCGCCAGCGCGGGGACCACACGAGTCCGCTGCGTAGAAGTCAGCATGCAGAAATTCGACGTGTTGTTGTAACGAGGGCGCTGAAGAAGAATCTTTAGCGAACCTGCGACTAGCAGACTGGTTACAGAACAGGTGTCAGCTTTAAGTCGGCGACTGTGTTTTTTTCTGTTATAAGGTGTGTGCTCATGTAGAAGTGAGTTCATTGTATTAACGGATTAAACGCGGGCTGGCGATCACAGCCCAGAGGAGTTAAAACGTTAAACGGCACGTTGTAACCATTAAGACACATTCATCTGCAATCTGTCATTGTGACCGGGTGGAGATGTCCATCTTTCCATATAATCGAAGCATAGGACAGACGACAGCAAGCTTAAGTGCACCACCAAGACTTTCTCACATGCCACCATCTTTAACAGAGCGTCCCTCTATGGTCGAGTTTAACGGAGCAGTTCAACCACAGCAAATTCATTCTACAGACACGTTCAACTTAGATCAGGAGCCAAGTCATCCGGCCATGTACGATCAGTATAGCAATCATACAAGTATGTACAATCCTAATGTTGGCTTGAGACAAACTACTGCAATTTACCCACCAAACCCAGCCTTTAGTCTTCATACGCAAATATATACACCGTCAGAAAGATTGCATTCATACACTGGAGAAGCACGGCAAGACCTTAACCCTTTCCCCAACTACAGGAATAATTTTTTCCATCAGCTTACAAATACGACATTTCCACACCAAGGCTATGCACAGTTAGGAAGTGAGAGACAAGATGTTTGTCTGAACAATAGAGATGTTGGAAGAAACCTCCACATGGGCCTCACGAAACAAAGTGGTATGTTTTTTTGCTAATTAATTGTCCATCTTCTTTCATTTATTGCTAATAGAGTATTGTATAAAAATGTGATGTAAGCACATTGAGCTTATCTTCCGATTGCTTACGCCTTCAATTACCAGAAAGATAGTTTGCTTTGAGTTATGACAAAGTTTGTGTATAGATCAACTGAGACGGGTATGAGTCTACACAAATTTCCGTATCTTTGGTGTTTACTTACTAACAACACCACGGAAATGTTCTTCTTACACAAATCGTAAGCCACTTTGAGACAGGACACTGTCGGGTCACTGTTTGCCTTTTAGCATTTCAACCTCCATTTTCTTTTTTATTAGGGGATATGTTTTTAATTTATTCTGCAGTTAACTGAATTCTTCATTACATTTATCACCTTGGCGTACAAGCCCATAGCACTCAACATCGGAAACCTAATTCTCTCCTTGCATAATGCAATAATTTTAATTAGATTAAATGCATCTTAGCCTGTCCTTCTATTCCAAACCCAGTGCCGTTGTGTCCGAGGAATCAAGCAGCTTGTGCTCTCGAAATCCCTCCCTCTCTCGTTGTTCTCACGGTTTAAAGTCAGCAATGATTCATCAGTCAATGGCGTGTGTGCCGTATTAACTCCTTAATGGTTGTAAAACTAATACTTAGCTTCAGGTTCGTTAGAAAAAACAAATGCCGGCTAATAGACCGATTTCTAAGCCAAATGTAAGATTGTTTATGATCTGTAAAGAATTTGTTTGTTCATTGAAAAGTTGGGAGACGAGTAGAAATTGGATTTTGAGGGTTTACAGTACACATTTGGACTCTTATAAAAATCAAATAATCTGTCAAACATGCAATTGCTAAACAGTAGAAATGTATACGTTGTACTTGTTAAGTATATCTTGAACTAGATTTGCTTATAAAAAGGGGATTCTAACAATTCATCCTTGTTCATAGCTTCAAAGCTGTTTTCTCCTAATGGAAGATTGGCAATTCATGAACAGTTTCAGTTAATAAAATGCATCTACTGCTTACACTAGAAATTACATTAATCAAGCGATCATTCAAAGATTTACTAGGTGCAGAGGCCCATCCATTAAAACTCAATTGCAACATGCTAAGGTATAAAAAAATCTACAAACATTTTAGAAAAGTCATAACCAGAAGAGATTAGACAAGGTTAAAAGTATTTTCAACAATTAAAGTGGAACAATATACCAACGACCAAATTTTCTCCAACCAGAACAGACATAATAGATCTTAAAGAATTGGAGCACTCATTAACTACCTGATATGGAAGCTAAATTGTAAACCTTGATAGACTATTTTAAGCAAATATTTTGAAATATATCTATTAACCTAAACGATTATGTCAGCATTTCTATGTTTTCTTCACTGAAAGGAAACATATTCTTATTAAATGCAAAACACAGTCCAATCCAGTTCTTTACAAGTACAGAGCTTTCTTAAGTCAGTCAAAAAAGAAACATAATAGCTTGTCATTCTAGATCTTTTTCTGACTTTCTGACATTTTTTCTTCTCAATTTCTTTCCCATATTAGAACTCATGCTTTAACCCTTCTTTGAGTCTGACAAAGAGTTTGTCTTTTTGGCTTTCAAACACTTTATTCAGATAACTCTTATGTAGTTTATTTGTAAAACTGTTCAAAGAATTCATTTTCGAATTCAGTGGTTTTTAGGATATGGATACAAATGTGTAAATAATCTGAATCATGTTATGAACAGGAACTTCATTCCAATGCCTCAAACATGTAATATCTGTATCTATTTCCTTGTCATTAAGTTTGTACATTGTCTCGTACTCATTCCCTTTTAAAGAGCAGTATTCCCCATGCTCTTTCAGAATCTTTGTGTTGCAGCCGCTTGAAAAAGCAGCTATGGCTTTCGTTATCATTTGTTTTGTTTTCAATATGGCGGGTGTCCAACGCCCAATTGACACAATTTCCTACTTAATAAGGCAAAATGTCTCAGTTGCTTCACAGCTACCACACGTTCACTGAAAGAAGTAAATTCATTATGGAAGCATAATTCCCTTCGAATAAAACATGGATGTCTTTTTAGCGTGAGAAATTCGCTCAGCGCACGTAAGGTGTTTATGCGGAGAACATGGTATTAAAGAATGCGAACCAAGTATAATTAACTCAAATTACCCCCAGAATAAAGTTCAAAGTGGCACAAATACATGAAATATTTCTTAGTTTCAAATGCATTTTCTCAAAGTTTAAGGCGATGGTTGTCGGAACGGATAATTTTCTTTCTGTTCAAGTCTTTCTCTCTTTAATGCTTATTAATTGCTACTTTCGATCATGAGTAATGTTTATATTGATTAAAGTACTACGTCAGTCAGATTCAGATTATAATAAATTTGTCTGAGCAATATATTTGCCAGAGTATAGTATGTTTTGCCTGTCAGATCTTTCACATATTGGTTATAAAATCAACAGCAAAGAGAAATGTAAACACATTTTATATTCATGATTTCATATCTACGTTAAAAACAATTCAGTCTATCCACCTTAATTAACACATTGCATTTACATTTAATTATAACTACAAACGATGATAACTATAAATGTTGTTAGCATATACCCGACTTTAGAAATTGCGTTTTCAAATGCACTAAAGTTGCTTAGTTGCGTTTTGTTCATTGGGGATTATGCTGGTATAATTCTAGATGCCATTCTGTTTTTGTCATTGCATAGAAGGTGATATTCAAAAGTGAGTTGTCAAAGTGCATGGTGATTTTGTGTTGCTCAGAGTGTTATACATAACCCTTTCACTTGATTTTCCTACATCCCAGACCGTTGTCGACAATCTCCGTTCTCCTTGCTTATGTTGTATGTTGTAGTTTTTCTGCCAAAACGAATCTTTGTGTCACAGTAGTTCTGATGGTTAGGCTTCCAGTGCATACCTTAAATTTAATATGAATCTTTTAACTTTTTGGTGGAAAATTCCATTCAAGTTGTTAAGAGTGTCTGAGACACCTTTATCGAACTAGGAATACTTCAAACGAAGCCTTCTGAGTTGTGATGGAGATCTAACTAGCTCCTGAAAATAAAGAACGCTACTATAACTTTTATTTAATAAACTAAAATATATTTGCTTAATACATTTACATCAAAGGATAACGATTTTTGTGAACAATGTTTACTATGAAGAAAGCTTGCTGGATGCATTGCATCGTAAAATGAAACTACAAAATCACAATCTTAAAATCACAAATAATAATTTTATTGTTATTAAACGACATAAACCTTGTTGTACATTGATTTTTATGTGGTCTCTGCGAAATACATAAATAATTTCTTTGCTAGTACTAAAGCTGCCTAATATAGCTGCCTGTTCTTTAATCGTGCGTACTCCTTCTTTATGCTGACACTTAGCATTTGTTAACTGTGTTTTCATAATCTGTAGCGGTACAGATTTGCTGACTGAATCTCAACGAAAGGGCTTTGATTTTGCATTCATAAACACTGCTCCTTTTGGTTCTATTTTGCTGATTTCTCTTATTTTGTACACCATTCTTAAAAAAGTCCTAAGGCTTTTACTACTATCAGCTATGTTTCTAAAACGTAGCCTAATTGCACAGTACCAAGCTTTTAGAATGGCTCTATAGACGGTAGAATAAAGGACGAGATATAACTGCCGGAAAGTGGGGAATAGTTTCTGAATATGGGGTATTATCAAACCAAAGTAATAAAGACGAGTAATTTCATTAAGATTATTGTTTGCCATACCCTTTTCCTCATAGAGATCTCTTCCTTTATTTGTACCGTGTCATTTAACGATTGAAAATGCAATATTTGTGGGGAGCAATGACATGAGGCTAAAATAAAGCAGGCCTAGTAGGGCATCAAAAAATTGAGCCATCTGGTTGTTTACAATGCTTTCCAAAGGAGCAATTTGTGTTGAATGGTCAAGATCATAACATGCCTGCCCAGGTCACATAAGTGCTCTCATTTCAGCATGATCAACAACTTATAAATCTTGAAAGTAGTCAAAATATTCCTAAATTGTGGCGATATTTTGAGTTATTGAATTTTTTTTATGTACGGATTATTCCGTGGATAAATACTTAACCATTACTTAACATTTTTTATTCAATGTCTATTCGTAGGGCTCTCTGAAATGGCCTCAGGAATCTCCCTTTAGTTTTAGCTTTCACACTTTTAGACGCAAACGTATATCGTAATAGATGGCAAAAGACCTTTGAAAATCCTTGCATCAATACCTTGTTTGGAAATGTTAAGGCATTTTTCATTCAAGTCTTACAATTTTGCTGCATTTTCCCAAGGAACCGTTTAACAAAACGATCCCTAAGCTTATGATAAAATTAGCAAACCAATCACAGTTTTCCGCCTGTAGTTTTAGTAGATTTCTGAGTGGCATGTTGAAAACCATTAAGAAATCTTTGGTTTCTAGACAATTTGAAAAGCCATTTATCGAACCTCGCATTAAAATCATAGCTCCACTCCGAGGCACCATTTACAATAGTATCAAGCCAATAAAATAGTATCTATCACAACTTTTGGGGCTTTTAAGAGGTGTTCTGCAATGCTTCTATGGATACATTCCACCTGTAGTAATGTTACTGTACACATAACCACCAGTTTTTCGGCAAATGTTGACTAACCAAACCTGTTAAAGTATGCTTAAACAACATGCTTTATTTAAAGATTCAAGGCCCGCAATACGTTTCTTTTGCATTGTAACAATACTCGTCTAGTACTCCTGACATTTTAAGAATTCGTCCATTAGTTGGAACAGGTATGGACTTTGCACAACGTGGATACCAAATTTATATATACAGTGAAGTTTGCCGCTTTCATATTTGAGAAAGAAAGCGTTGAGGCCTCTTTCCGTGGGCGTGTCAATAAGAGACCACCACCCTATTCTTACATATTTTCTACGTTTTTGGAAGGGTACGCGCATTTGTTATAAGCACTTTCGAAATAGCAAAATTTTATATTTTTTAGATTTAAGTTCTTATTA